AAGCATTAACCAACATATATAAGGACTTAGGTTGATCCACTTAATAAGATTAAGAGGGTGTTTGGTGGGTATTAAAATTAGATTTTTAGTAGATTGTGATAGAAGTTTTTTAAATGTGTGGTTGAAAAATTGTGAGACCCATGAAAGATGTGATTAATATTGATTGTTTGACTTTGACTTGAATTAAAATCAGATTTTAGTTCAGACCAAACAAGGGCTTAATAAGATTTAAAATATAATTAAAGATTATGAACAATTTTTAGTTAGTAATACATTAAAAACATAAACGGTTGATGACATCTTACTAGCTACTAATGATCTTAGTTTATTACATGAGACTAAGAATTTTTCTCTAAAAACTTTGAAATGAAATATGTGAGAGAGGGAACTTATGTGATTAGAATTGAAATATTTGGAGATAGGTCACAAAGATTGTTAGGGTTGTCTCAAAAAGCATATATCAATAAAGTTTTAGAGTGATTTAAGATTGAAAATTGTTTAGTGGCTGTAGTTCCAATTCAGAAAGAAGACAAATTTAGTCTCATGTAATGTCCTAAGAACGAATTGGCACGCAAACAAATGACAGATATTCCTTGTGCATCTCTTGTGGGAGAACTTAATGTATGCTCAAACTTGCACCTGGCCAGTATCAGTTTTGGTGTCAAAATGCTAGGTAGGTATTAAAGTAATACAAGACTTGATCATTAGAATTTGGAAAGCTGTAAAGAAAGTATTGAGATACTTATAAGGAACGAAAGAACACATGCTCACTTATAGTGGATCTTATAACTTGGAGGTAATTGGATATTCAAATTCAGATTTTGCTAGATGTGTGATGATTACGCCCAAAGAAGGAGATGGAAGAATATTTAAAGGATCAAAAGGGTTGAATTGTTCTCTCAAATGTGTAATAAAATTCAATGTTGAAACGTGAAATTAAAATCAATAATTCGAAGCGGTGAAGCGTCAGAATTCCCTCAATTGGATTGGATCAATCATATCAATTATTCATTTTTATAACACAA